CTCCCATGTGTCCTCCCATGCAGCCACCCTGCGTTTTTTTGGGGGTAGGTCGCCCGCCTCCTCCTGTTGTTAAGGCAACAGGATTGGATGCAGGAACAGCATTAGCATGGGTGTAGCCCCAGAGAATGTGGTCAAACTAGACTATATCTCTCTCAGCAGTTTGCCAAGAACAGGAAGAGCTCTGGTATACTTGTTTCCGACTGGATTGCCACCTAGTTTTATACAGAAATGAAAATACAAAAGGTGTCGTAAATTATGCACATATAAATTCACTCCTGCTCTGCTTCTCACCTGTATTTTCCAGCCGTTTGTGGCCAAATTATGATTTCTTTGAACTCAATATTGAGTCAGAGAGAATCTGAGCCCACAGTCCCGTCCCCTGCCGAGATATGACCGGTGACACTGTCAAAAGTGTTCCCACTCATAGGTTTGAAATGTTATATCCTGTGTGTGCATGAACTGTGCAGTATAAACACTTGGAGAGGAGCTCGACACTGCAACTTGTTCCTCCTCATCAGCGAGAAGATGCTTCCAGTATTCCCATGATCCCCAAACCAAACAAATAAACCGCCCCCGCTTGACATCAGTGAGAGTCCTTGTCTCCAGATGCTCTGCCTCCCTCCTCCTCCATAACCACACTACAGCCTGGAGGAAGAACAACACCGCCAGCAGACATACAATCTGCACATGCACATATTGTACAACACACACACACAGACATGATGGATGGCCTTCCCCCTCTTGATAATGCACAAAAAGTATTTTCCTTCACTCTCCAGCCCAGAGGAAAGAGATGTGACACCCTGCTCCCTCTTCCCGTGTGTTTGTGTGTGTGTGTTGGTGTCTGTCCGTCTCCCTGAAAAGACAACATTGTCCTAAGGTCGTGATCAAGCTGGAGTTTATTCATTGAGCTTCTAAACCTGCTTGATGGCTTTTTGTCTCTATGCTGTTTGGGTGGTAACAGCATTGAACTACAGTTGCAGCTTTGAAATTAAGTGTTTAATCTTGTGCTTTTCTTTTCCTCTTTTTGTTCTTGTTGTTAATTCATTTTGGGGATGATTTGGTGCCTCATAAACCACTGAGCTGCTTAGAGAACATGTTTTTTAAGCACCGCTGCATTTTATTCCAGCCACCATCTTTTAAAAAAAACCTGTTTGCTGTTCTCTTGTTTTGACATTATGGAGAAAGCTTCTGACAGATGGGGCAAAAATGAAATCCAGGCCTGGGTATATTTTTGGAATTGGAAACGACGATTCTCCACCACGTCACTCACGTTCTGGCTTCCAGGCCCTCTGCATGTGGAGGCCTGTGGTGAGGCCACAGTTGAGCAGCAGTGGAGGGAGCAGCTCGGTGTTTGACAGCAGATCTTATCCTCCTCACAGCAGGAAAAGGTGTGAGAATCACTGTCGGCCGGCGGCCAGGGTTGGACAGTTCAAACTCAGAGGTACAACGTGGAGCTCAGGAGTCGGTCGTGTGGAAAATGTTTCGAAGTGGAAAACGTCTCTTGAGCTGGAGGTCATCGACCCTGTGTGCTGCGGAGCTGGTCGTCCGTTTAAAGGCTTTGGGTTACATTCATAAAGTGTCCAAAAATAAGAGCATCTCACTGAAACAGGTTGAAAACTTCATGAATGTTCTTCCGCTGGAGGCAACCATCAACAGATGTTTAAAACACAAACTTGGTGCACATTTCTTTCCCAGGAAATTGTGTATGGGTTATTTGGTTCTGGCAGATAAGCTGGTCTCTTCAAAAAGAGACATAAAGCTGTGGCATGACGTCAAAATCATTCCACACATGTCTGAATGTAACGCAGCATCCTGAAGCCATTTGGTTTCTATTCTGGACATGAGCAGAAAAGACAGTTTGGTAAACTCGAGCTGGATCATACAAAAAAAAAAGGTATAATATTGGCAGCAACAGTTGCCAAACACTTATCGTCACATTACAAGATACAGATGTGCATTTTTTTGGATTTGTATATATAATTCAATTACTATTGTGGTTTTATTACTGTGAAAACAAGTCTATAATCAACCATTATAATAATTTCTTTATATTGTTATTAGGGCTGTCAGTTTAGCACGTTAATTAGATTAATTAATTACACTGCAAATTAACGCGTTATTCAAATTATCGCAATTAATTATGAGTATCAAAGGTGGCTGTTCAATGCGCGAGCATTTTAAATTTGGCCCATTGAAGGACCCGTATGCTACTTGGCAGTGCCACGCCACTTCCTGTTTGCGTCGCTCGGCAAACAAACAACAAACATGGACGCGACTCAGGGGAGCGAGGCGAGTAAATCGTTACTAGCCTTTGAATGGCAAGTTTATTTTCAAAAAAGAAGGGTCTATTAATAAGAACGTGGGGATTTGCAGCTTTTGTAAAAAGGAGTTCCACTGGTACGGGTGCTAGCTTTAGCGGTGAGCTCACTTCGCCAACCCACGCTTGCTGGTTGGTAGATGAATGACCTGGCCTAACTGGTTTGCTGATGTGCGTGACCTTTTACTTTTGAATTTCATTTATGAAGCAGCGGACTTCACCAATAAACATTTGGAGTCCAAATCTTCTCTTCTTAGTGTATTCAATTGATTAGTCATGCACTACAAATTTTTAACGTCCTAGAATTCAAATACTTTATTTGGGGACCTTTAGCAGATAWGACATTAAAATGCGATTAATTAGATTAATTTTTCTAATCGCCTGACAGCACTACGTTTTATATATAATTTGATGTATTTTTCCAGTCAACACCAACAAACAATTGACCAAATAATCATGTATTTTCCCCAAAAATATGATTTATGTATTACGACTTTTTTATCACATGTAATTGTCTGTATTTTTATGGCACAGTATATTTCCTCTATGCACAATAATGACTTGTGAGTATAAAAGGCGACAAAGGTGACTCGTGCTGAGAACTTTCTCACAAAGCCCAATCCAGCAGTGAATGGTTCATTCAGCAGACCTGAAAGCTTTATTGATCGCCCTCAGTACTAATGAGATTGAATGTAGCATTCCTAATACCACTCTTCTCACTAAATTTGAAGGATTAGATTGGCGTATGCATCCGTCTTATCCCCGTCTGCTTACCATCCGTACGCGTGAGGCGGCTCCCCACCGAACAAAGAGCCATAAAGGAGGAACGAGAGAAAAGGTGGATTGAACACATGAAAAGAAACACCTAAAGGACTCGAAGGGCTCCAGCTGTGTATGCCGAGGTAGAGACGCCCCACAAAAAAGAGGGCGAGAGATGAGGGGTTGTGATGGGCAGGCCATCACATCCTCCGGGGGGGGACAAAGGACCCGGGTGACAAGCAGCTGATGGACAGAAGGTCCATTTCCACTCACACAAAAGAAGCAGGGAGATGAAGCAGATTAGTAGCTCTTTATGCCCATTGTGAAGGCTGCAAATGATAAGATTAACCCCAGTGTGTGTGTGTGTGTGTGTGTGTGTGTAGACAGAGTGAAGGAGCATGAGCTGCGTCAGTCAAACTAAAACCTTGATCCTAACCCTTAACCCTAACTTTGACCATGACCAATTCATGCCCAACCCTGACCTTAACCAAAGTTCACACCAGACCTCTAACCTTAACCAGGACCTCAGAAATGACGTCTTGCAGCATTAAAACCAGGGCATTTGTCCCCACGAGGTTGACAAGTCCCGTCGAGGTCAGTGTTTAAGCAGGAAAGTGTCCTCAAGAGGTGACAAAGACGTGCACAAACTAACAACTAAATGCTTGACCTGAGCCTAACCTTAATTCTAACCCTAACCCTAAAAGCAGATATCAACCCTTTAACAGCCCTTTGAAAAAGTGAGGGCCACCAAACATGTCCACAACAGTGCTCAAAAAGGTCCTCACAAAGACATGAGCACACACTGTATAAAGGAGTCTTTGATTCCTCCTCACTGGACGGACGGATGCGGCAGCTGGCTTTTGAGTCACTTCCCTCCTTTCAACTAAACCCTGCATCTACAGTTTGATGGGAAATGTTCTCAGCTCAAATCCCTCTATCACTGAAATGTTCCTTCTGTCTTGAAAATGACTCTTTCCAGTGGAAGACACACACACATACACACACTTGGGTTCTGTTCCTGTCATTAATCACTCATTCACCAGCCTTAATATAGCAGTTTAATGACACCCTGCAGGACAGGAATATGCTGCACATTGTTATTTAGTTCCATTTCCAGGAGCGTTTATTTCCTTCATCACCTGTGTGTGTCTATGTGTGTGTGTGTGCGCTAATGTGGGTTTTATGAACTATTGTTCTTCTGTGAGTCTCTTGTGAGCAGAGGTCCTTTAATGATACCTTTGTATCTGGTGCTATCTAGTGGTCATTTTCCGGCATTGCAGGTTTGTATGGTTCCCACCATTATCAAACATTTTCATAAAATTCATTGTATAGAATATATATCATGTGTATTCCAACTCAAATATATAACACTGATGGTGTTTAGGTTATGATATAGATTTAAACTGAAAATAAATGATACGGTATAATATTATACAAAACTATATACATCAGGAGTGTGAGGGAACAAGTGTGAAAACCAAAGTGACGAGGGTTAACATGTCACATTTACAGACTCACGGTCCACATAAAATAAAACACAATTACATAGAATAACACTCTCGGAGTGATTCAGCTGGCTAATGAAGATAGGATTTCATAGGATAGATTGAAGAGTATAGAGCTAATTCAGGCTAATAATAATAATAATAAAACACACTGTGGATAATAAAGGATTATCTTATCTTATAATAATAGTGATAATAATAATCATAATAATACACAAATTTCCCTTCTGTGGGACTATTAATTGATTATCTTTTCTTATATTTTAATAATACTACAACTACCATTAATAACAATAGCAACAATAATAAAACTGCAGCAAATTGACTGTTTGTTTGTCTCCATGTGTCAGTTCCCACTGTCTCCCTCTGGGGGGCGCTGCGGCCCAGGCCATGCAGTCAAACAGTCTGAGTCAAACGCTGTTGTGTAAAGTGTCGATTATCGAGTCATCGATTTACTCCTCGCTACAAGGACACAGCTTTAGGAACACACACACACACACACACACGGTGATGTAGCTCTTTACGTGTTAGCACAGCAGCCGGCAGCGTTACTCACTGTCTCCTGTGTTAAAGCTGATTTAGAGCCGGTTAAGCTAACCAGCAGCTAATTGTTTGTAGCAGAGCCTTGCTAGCTTCTCTGGAGTAACCCCTGTCGCTGACAAGTGGAGCGTGTGCGCGGCTGAGGAGGTGCGTGAGGAGCTGACAGCACCAGCCTGGTAAATAAATCTCATGTTCTAACTTACAACAGCGTGTTATTTGACCTCACAAGTTCATGCTAACAGTGTTTTATATGCATGCTAACTGGGAGCAAGGTGGTTTTGACCACACACGTGTTTGGGAAAGGCTGGTGTGTTGGTGATGATTTATATCCAGCTGTTAGAGACTCATTCCGTCAAAACCCAAATTCCATGTGTCTCAGATCCTGACTAAGGGAGAAAATGATGTCATCAAGACCTCCAGAAGTTTGATCTCTGGTTTTTGAGTTGTTGCTGAGATAACTGAAGTGACATCACATCACTAGATCTTTACAATGTTGTTGAACAGCAGTAACATGTTAGTGATCATGATCAGACACATGCACTTTGTCGATGCGCTCCCAGAAATACAACACGTGTGGAATCATAATTTGCCTGTTACACATTTCCCTCTTTACTTTAAAGTTTTATATTTTTGCACTTGTGCATCTCTGTTGAAATAATTCATCTTGTACCCCAGCTCCAGTCATGGTGTTTATCCAGAGCTACTGTGAAGCCAACTCCTCCATCTCCCACACCTGGGTGGATGAAGGCATCTCCCCCTGCTTCTACTTCACACTCGTCCCGGCCATCCTGCTCACCATCTCGTTCTTCCTCGGTACCATCCACTGCATATGCTACCAGAAATATGGCACAGCCATGGAACCCAAGTTCATCCCGCGCTCCCGCCTCTACGGTTTCCAGCTGGCCCTATCCGTCCTCCTCGTGGTTCAGTTTCTCGGTGGGATAGTGTGGCAGGCGACCACCGGAGGAGAACTCCCAGGCTATGTGGTGCTCTATGGCTGCTTCTCTGTGCTGGCCTGGGCCTGGGCCATATCCCTGCTCAGGGTGGAGAGACGCAGGGTCCTGGTGATGGACCGGACAAGGGGGCACAGCACGTTCCTGCTGCTGTTCTGGGCTTTGGCCTTCTCAGCTGAGAACTTGGCTTTCGTCTCCTGGTACAGTCCTCACTGGTGGTGGGCGCTGGAGAACAACAAACAGCAGGTGAGGAAAGAGGGAAAGTCGCATAAGAGGAAACATTTTGATGAAAGTAAAACCAAAAAAAGACAGACTCAAGAGTGCTCAGTGTGTTGGGGGACAATGCTCTGTTTTAAGACATCGTACCAGAAGGCAGCTTGTGTTTGGCAGTTTCTCTTCATTCTTATTTATGCAGGGTTAGTTTTGATTATCTTACATTTTCTAATGTCAAACCAAGTATGTGCCCTTCCTGTGTGAACAGTGATGTTCCACTGGGCCAAAGGTTATTTGTTTATAGAGATAGGTGTATTTTATGAGTCACCCTTTATGATGTTTAACTTTTCAAGCTCCACTTTTAACAACGTCTCCACCCTGTCTGCAGGGAATGTGAAAAATGCAAACGACCAGTAGGAAAGACATGTTGCATTATGTTTAGTCATGATGAGCGCCAGACTGGAGCCTTTTTTTGCTGAGTCACTGCACAGTCTGGCTTTCAGATACCCAAAGCACTGTTAACCAATGAAATCCAGGCAATATCTTGCCCCTCCCACTCTTGCAGTTGCAGGAAGTCCCAAGTTTGTGTTTATATAACAAAGCATGACTTCTTTAATGTGGCCTCTACTTTGTATTAGACTGTTTTTACACTCTGTGTAATATCTGATATCTCTAAAAAACCCTAATAAATTACAGTAAAGTATATGATAACACAGCAATGTGAATTAGCCCTGTGTAATGAGGGGCACATCCACTGCAGTCATCACTTGTGGTCGATATATTACTATTAAGTGTCTAATATGCTCTGAAACCCTCAGGTGCAGTTTGCCCTGTGGCTGATTCGCTACATCTGCACCGGGCTGCTCTTCTTTATTGGTCTCAAAGCGCCCGGGTTGCCACGGAGACCATACATGCTTCTGATAAACGAGGATGAGCGGGACGTAGAGAACAGCGGCCAGGTAGTGACGCGTCAACTCTTAACATTAAAACCTGTGACACTTTTCAGATGTATGCTGTTTTAGGTGTTTAATATATTTTCTCTATGTCAGAGTCTCTTGGGCAGAACAGAAGAGAACCAGTCCACGTGGAAGGGCTTCAGACAGAAGGTCCGTCTGCTCGTCCCCTACATGTGGCCCAAAGGAAACATCTTCCTCCAGCTGCTGGTCGTCTTCTGTTTGGGGCTGCTGGGAGTCGAGAGGGCCATTAATGTCTTTGTACCCATTTACTACAAGAATATCGGTGAGTGACATTTATTTTTATGTTGCCCTGCAGACTCAAACATTTTTTTCAGAGCGGTTAGTCTGGTTTAGCCTGAGCCAAATTATTTGTATTTATTCAAGTTGAGCCAAGGACCTGAAAAGCCTGAAGAGACATGTTAACCACAAATTAATGTTGAATACACACCGAGTGACTTTTTTGACTGAGTCAACAACATCACAGTTCCTCAGGATGTGTGATGTGACAAAACAGAGGCAACTCTCTCTTGGTTTAAGCTTCAGGAGGTACAGCAAGAGGAATATAAAATGCCCCGGCATTAGAGAACACCTCCCAGAGTCTACTTATGACCTTTATCATCTTGTTTATCCCCCTTATCTTCGACCGTGTGGTGTTTTTTCTAATTTGCCTTTATGTCCTTCCCCTAGTGAATGACCTAACCGGTGGCAGCAGCTGGCACACTGTGGCCACTACAGTGTGCATTTATGTCCTGCTCAAGTTCCTGCAGGGTGGAGGGGCAGGTACGACATACTCATTTACAGCATGCCACTAATTCCCGGCCTTAAATCCCGTGTCACGTGACCATAGCGGCGAGAATGGTCAGTCTACGTCACCCTTCTCCTTGCCTCCTCTCAGGTGCCTCGGGGTTTGTCAGCAACATCCGCTCGTTCCTGTGGATCCGCGTGCAGCAGTTCACCAACCGCGTGGTTCAGGTGCATCTGTTTGCCCACTTGCACTCGCTCTCCCTGCGCTGGCACCTGGGCCGCAAAACCGGGGAGGTGCTGAGAAGCATCGACCGCGGCACCTCCTCCATCAACAGCCTGCTCAGGTGAGATGCTACAGATCGTGGTGGAAATGTTACTACCATCTTAAAATTTAAAGAGGAAATTGACTCAACTGTCTCTTTTTCCACAGCTACATAGTTTTCAGCATCTTCCCGACCATCGCCGATATCGTCATCTCCATCGTCTACTTCATCACATATTTCAATGCTTGGTTTGGCCTCATCGTCTTCATCTGCATGACCTTGTACCTCAGTAAGTAGTTGGACTGTAGGTGCCCAAAGTTCCACTGAACGTAATTAATAGTCAAATAAATCTGATCAAGTTGAGCGTAGCTACAAATACAACGTTCAAACCCTCATGTGTATCCACCAGCTTTGACCATCATCATCACCGAGTGGAGGACAAAGTTCAGACGAGACATGAATCTGCAGGACAACAACGCCAAGTCCAAGGCTGTGGACTCCTTGTTAAACTTTGAGACGGTAAATCACAACGTTTCGCGGTTCATTGAGACGTTTCAGAGTTACTCAGAGATGGACGTCACATTTTGCTTTTGTCTGTGTTCATAGGTGAAATACTACAATGCAGAGAACTATGAGGTTGGCCGTTTTGAGGATTTCATCTTAAAATATCAGGTCAGTCACAAATACATTTATCGATGATACTTAATAGTAAAAGTACGAAGAACAAACAAAGACAATAAAAGATTAATTTGACATAGTTGTATTTAGAAAATAAAAATGTCTATATCGAGGGTATTGTTATTCTAGAAGATAATTTTGACAGCATCTGCATTTACACAAGGAGCAGGGAAGGAGTTAGCTTCTGCCCTAAGTCCCAATATGGCTGTAACACAAACATTAGTCATGTGTAGCCGTTATTAAAATCTTTATCCAGCCCGTACAGTCATGCAGCGAATGGTTCTTGTCCCCTCCGGTTGTAGGTGTCTGAGTGGAAGACCCAGGCGTCTTTGGCCTTCCTCAACCAAACGCAGAACCTCATCATCGGATCGGGTCTGCTGGCCGGCTCCCTGCTCTGTGCCTACTTCGTAACCGAAGGAAAGTTTCAGGTACCGAATACAATGTTTGATACTGATGTTTTGTGATTTCATTGTTGGTCCAAAAAATTGTTTTTGACGTCTCTTGAATCAGGTTAAAATATATTATTTGTTTTTTTTAACCTCCTCTTACGCTTTAAGGTTGGAGACTTTGTTCTCTTTGGTACCTACATCATCCAGCTGTACACCCCCCTCAACTGGTTTGGAACCTACTACAGGTAAGAAGAGGCTTTAACATTATGAACATTATGTTCTGCAGCAACGATCAATAGTCTTTCAGTAGCTTTTGGTTCTCGGAAAAACTTAAAAACTTAATCTAATCTTTCTTTTTTTTACTGCAGAATGATCCAGAGTTCTTTCATCGACATGGAAAACATGATTCAACTATTTGAAGAAGAGGAAGAGGTACATTAGAAACTGACATGTCTGCATTTCAAGGTGCTGTAACATGACCCACTCATTGTTAATCTTTCTGTTTTTGCTCCTCTGTGCAGGTGAAAGATGAAGTAAACGCTGGGAATCTTGTTTACGAACTGGGAAAAGTGGAGTTTGAGCACGTTCACTTCAGCTACATAAACGGGTTGGTTCACATTTGTTTCAAAAACGAAAGTAGAAGTAGAAATTCGAGTTGTACAAGACTAAGTTCTTTTCATTTTTAACGATTTTGCAGCAAGGCGATTCTCAACGACGTTTCCTTCACTGTGCTGCCGGGACAAACAGTCGCTCTGGTAATCCTGCAGGAGAAATTTCGTTACTTTTACTTTTGCATTTCTGCTTTTTCTGTTCAACACTTATCACCATTGTTTTCTGTGAATCTCTTAATCCAGGTCGGACCGTCAGGGTCTGGGAAGAGCACCATCATTCGACTGCTCTTCCGTTTCTATGATGTTCAGGGAGGCTGCATTCGCATCGATGGCCAGGATATATCCAAAGTGAGTGTTTGGCCCGAGGCTACGTTGTGAGCACACACACACACTTGAGCATAGAATCATAAATTAATATTTATTGGTACAGTGTGTATGTACAACAACACAAACACATATAAAACAATCCAACACATTATCTGTGCTGTAAACTCTACCGTATGATGTTTGCTTGTAATTTGGGATATTACTCACACCAGTAGCGTAGACGACTTAATACCGTTCCACCAGAGCTCAACATTAAGTTCTCATGCATCACAGAGCTCTGTTCATAACCTCATGTGCAAATGAAGCAATGAAACAGCTATAAGCATAAATTAGCTCCTGGTTATGTGTCTCCTGAGATTACAAAAAGCAATCAAAGAAACTGTAGCCTAATACGACTCTGTGTGTGCGTGGTGTGTGTGGGTTCACACACCCATACTGTGAACTAGTAATTACTTTGTCTTCATTTTCTTTCCTCAGGTGAAGCAGACGTCTCTGCGGGCTCATATCGGCGTCGTTCCGCAGGACACTGTGTTATTCAATGACAACATCCGGGATAATATTCGCTACGGGCGCATCTCTGCTAGCGATCAGGAGGTGGAGGAGGCTGCTCTCGCTGCGGATATCCACGATAAAATCATGACCTTCCCTGAAGGTTACCTATTATCTTACCCTCCCATACTGGTTTTTAAAATCTTATACATATTTCAGAGCTAAGATTTACTCCAATTCCAAATTTTTTTTTCTGGCAGGTTATGATACACAGGTGGGTGAAAGAGGTCTGAAGCTGAGTGGAGGAGAAAAGCAGAGGGTGGCCATCGCCAGAACGATCCTCAAAGCCCCGCAGATCGTCCTGCTGGATGAGGTGAGACGCAGCTTGTGCTCAAATTAAAGGGGCTTTCTTGTTTCATGTTATTCCTCACTGAATGTCTGATCCAGTTTTAACAAACTCTGTGTTTCTCTGCAGGCCACATCTGCACTAGACACACAAACCGAACGCAACATCCAGGCGTCGTTGGCTAAAGTCTGTACCAATCGTACAACCGTTGTTGTCGCCCACAGGTAAAAAGACGGATGTTTTTGTGATTTCTTTCCTGTGTAGAAAAAAGATCAATCAGTTTTATCTGATGTTTTTTTTTATAACAGGTTGTCGACCATCATCGGCGCAGACCAGATTCTTGTTATAAGTGAGGGTCGGATTGCAGAGAGAGGATGGTAATTATCACTTATTGACCTATTCTTCTGAATGACTTATCCTCTTGTACGCTGAACTGGAAGTGACTCGGCTTTTCTCCCTCACAGTCACGAGGAATTGTTGCTTAAGGGAGGCCTGTACGCAGACATGTGGATGAAGCAGCAGCAGGCGCAGGACTCCGATTCCTCGTCAGACACAGAAGCCAAAGATCGTAAATCTGAGAAACTGCAGCCACCGTCCACTTCTTCAGGCCACCACGATCACTGAATGTATTTTAGAAGAGAGAACGCTTCATTTAAATTCTCCTTTTAATGGTAAAAAAGTTAAAAGGTGGTTTCACTTTTAAAGGAAAACTCTGCTATAGATGAAAGTGTTATTTATTTGTAGAATTTTTCAAGCTGAATGTGCACTGGCAGTCAGGGAGAAAAGGGAAGGTCCCTTAACAAAGAGCTGAAATGAATCGGAGGACATTTGTTTTTTTTCCCCCATGGTATTAGTTTTGTTTGTGCTTAAGATTTTTATGTTTGAGGAGCGAAAATGTCAAGTTATCACCACAAAAACAAACTGATGTAAATAGTCATTTTTAGAATGTTTCAAGCCATAATCACTTCGCTGCAGGCTCATGAATGGAATGTGTTCTCTTGTGCCTTCATTGGTTGGCTCCCTGCGTTTTAAATGTTAAGAGCCTGAGGATATTATATTCAGAAGCTCTCATCCCAACCTTTTAATATTATTTTGTTGTGGTTTTATATTGAAAAGGCTTTTTTTTAGTTTGTACTGTCTGAGTATGTAAAACTAGAAAAGGCAAAATTGCACAAGAAACACAGGAGTAGAAACACTATGTGATTAGAAAGATTTGGGTAAACTTGCTGTCAGGGATTGTCTTTGGGTTTTTCATGTTGTTGGTGAGTCAGTTTATGAGCTTTATTGTAATTTAAAGTGATATTTTTAATGTGAACGGCTCTGTATACTATATCATATCTTAAGTGCAATGTTGATGATCTGCATTGTCATTGACATCAGAAGTGAAAGTAAAACGTGGCAATCTTGCATTTTTGTATGAAAATCTTTCGCTTTATTTACATATAAAGTTGTTCAATCCATGTCCGCCTGTTGTTGGCAGTTTAAGACAATTCTTTCTCACAGCAGGTATTTTGACTTTGTGTGACGATGGAATGGAATCGGTCATTTCTGCACCTTTATAAATCACATAAACAATCATATACATTATTTCTGAATAAAATGTAATGTCTTACGTCTACCTCACAAAGGGTTTTAGTCATGATTATTCCAATTTGCAATTTTTCCTCTTTCACTTGTGAGCAATAAAACTTGTAGTCCCACACATTACTGTCCATTTTTTATAAAGCTTTTTGCCATATATGGTGAATTTTATTTTTATTAATTATTAATTATTTTTCCATGTATTTTTTTTGGGGGGGGGCTTGTCTTACTTATTTTATTATCATCAGTTTAATACACTAGATTTTACTCTTTTTGTTAAACTTCACTACGTCTATTCTCTATTTGGATTTGATTATATATACTCTTTTTAAATCTATTATTTCTATTCCCATTTTGTTCTGTTTATTTTTGAAACATTAATTTTCTGTCTTGTTGTTTTTATTCTGCCTCTTGTTCCCTCATCGCAAATTGGTGTGAAAGCGTTTCTTCTGTCTCTGTTTGTATGGACTGGAGAGTGGTATACATATAAATAAAGTCTGATTGATTAATTGGTTAATTTATTGATTGATACTAACAGCCATCGCAAATGATCACATGACTTAATTAGGCATTTTGATTGGACAGAAGTGACACAACATCCATGTGAGGCCTTTATGAAAGGGTTAAAGGTTTGTGATCATCACATTCAAGTGTGAGAGAAGAAGAGTCCATTAATAACAAGAATCACAAAACATGGAAACATCGTCACTGAATCAAAAACGAACGAATCCTTTGGCTCGCGTGTGTTTACAGCTGTTGTGTAACTGTTCCAGATGTGTGACCCCTCCCAGTCCCAGTGTGTGTGTGTGTGTGTGTGTGTGGAAAGAGTCGCCCCAGTGACGTCACTGACTGTCCCCGGTCGGGCCGTGTTGTTCAGCTCAGCTCTCAGCGGCGGGGGTCCGGACACACTCACTCCAACACTCGTCTTCTTCCCACCGAATCGTCGGACCCATGTTTCATTTGACAGCCATGGATTTCGACGCTTTGTTCAACGAGAAGACTTTTCAGTTCTCGGACTTCCAGGAGTTCACGGTACGTCGCTGAGCTAGCGGAAGCACCCGCGGAAGCTAAGGCTAGGTTAGCTAACGGCGGGGCTACGCTCAACACAGCAAAGTGCTACATGCTTCTGATTAAAGCTAAACAACATGGCGGGTTTACGTCTTAAATATAAAAATAACAACGGTGAGGCTAGCAGATGTTGTCGGCTACCAACTTAGCTGAAGAGACTTAGCATTAGCTCAGGGGGCTAGTGGTGCAGAGCATGTTGCTGGGCTTGCAGGAAGCATTTAATGCTAACTTCTGCTTTTCAGAGCAGCTAGGCTAACTTTACTTAGCTCTCCAAAAGCTGCTGTTAGCACAACTTGGCTAATGTCGCTGTATTTACAGTTTATTCCTGGACACCAGAAGTTGACTGAGCGGGTGAAGAAGCGACTCTACTACGGCCTGGACACAGACGTTTCCTTCGATGCTCTCTCTTGCCCTGTGACAGGTGAGCTAACCATTAACTTTTGAACCAGGTTAGTGGGTCAGTGCAGTGAACTCTGACCTTCACAAGAAACACAGGAAGTCTTCTTTTCTGATTTGTTGCCAGAGCATAGAGGATATTGTGTTAGGTCTCATGAGACATGTCTGCAAACTTGTTTTTATACACTTAATGGTAATAAGATTGTATTTGTATTGCACGTTTCTATCAACAAAGTACTACACAGGAGTATGAAATCAATAAAATGTCAATAATAGACTTCAAATCAATAGATGCAATCATCTCAGTCACCTTATGTCTTGTTTATTGCAGATATTGCCGTTGAAATCTTCCAGAAATCTGCCCCAAGCCCGATCAGAAAGCTCCAGAAGAAGTATGCTTCACATGTCGTCAGGTTTGTACAGTTTTAGCCATGTTTACATTAGTTGAATTCTATACTGTCGTGTCCACATTGCAATAACTGCTTCGTTACATCAGGGAGGCGTGTATCTCTCCGTGCGCCATGATGCTGGCGCTAGTTTACATCGAGAGGCTCCGACACAGAAACCCTGAATACCTACAAAAGATCTCCTCCTCTGACCTCTTCCTGATCTCTATGGTATGTGTAAAGGGTTCAGAGTGGTTCTAAAAATGTCAGTGTTATTTATAGCATTATTACTGCTCACTTCAGAATGGAGTTTGGTGTTGAGGGCTCTTCTGCGGATCTCTGCGAGTGAAAGAGCACAATGATGTTACGTTAACAAAAGCTTTTGATTTCTCATTGAATTAGATGGTTGCCAGCAAGTACCTGTATGATGAAGGAGAGGAAGAGGAGGTTTTCAACGATGAGTGGGGAGCGGCTGGGAAGCTGGACGTCCAAACTGTCAATAACCTGGAGATGAACTTCTTGAATGCCATTGTAAGTATATGTTTGTGTGTGTGTCTGTGTCTGTCTGTTTATATTTGTTTGTAGTTCTTTGTCCCAACCCATGTGTCATATTTTTTAGGAATGGAGCCTTTTCACAGAGCCAAATGACTTCTTTGATATATTAAGTCATCTGGAAACCAGGTTGGTTCTCAACTTCACCACTGAAATACAGTGTCACAAAGAAATGTGGAAAATGTGTTTGTGAATAGAAGATTTCTGACTCTGGCTTCTGTATCCTCAGCATCGCGGAGCGGCAGGGGATGAAGCGCGGCTGGTTCACCTACACTGACCTCTGTGTGCTGCTGGAACAGTCAGCATGGAGTCAAGCACTCACAGCCATCTACCTGCACTTTACTAAGGTGAGAAGGGAGCTGCACGGTTATTATGTATGTGTTAAATGTCATTAGTTTTTGCTCTTCATTTATAACTTAATGAATCAATGTCTTTGAATTGCAATTATTTTGGGTTTGCGCACAAGATTTGATCTCATTCTATTTTCAGGTGTCCTGTATGCTCGGCTTGGTCTATCTGACCAGCGTAACAGGCCTTATCGTCACCAGCACTGTGCTGCAGCAGCTCACTCTCTCCAGAGCTGGTCAGTCCCCGCTCGCATCCCCGGCTGAGATCTCCCCGAGCTTCATTCAGACCTCAAACCTCAATCCAGAGGCTCCTGCGGTAGCCCAGCGCCCTCCCTGTTGTGTTCTGGCTAACAAGAGCCTGAACCGTCAAGCCAGTGTCCCTGAAAGCGGTCAGAACCGGATACAAAACCCGCCACCAGCTTCCTCGCAGACATCAGTCTTGTGTCTGTGGGGCTCCCTCCTCGCTTCCATGGGTCACATACATCCTGAAACAATGTCTGATGTGGAAACCACTCGAACCTGGTCGGCTGCTTCCTTCTTCTGTCCTGGCTGTCTTGCGACCCTCCCGCCTCTTCACTGCGAACTTAAAAACACCTCAGCACTCATCACTCGTGGCTCCTCTCACAGCCATCAGCGTCATGTACCGTTCCTGGCGTCTGACCTCCTCAGGGCCTCAGAACTGAACACTCGCCTGGGAGCGTTACCCACCGTGCAGCTGGGATCCTGCCATCCAGCGTCTATGTTACCTATCGAGAAAGCCCAAGCTCTTCTCATGCCCGGCTAGAGACTGGGTAGCACCACTGCTGCCAACCTGTAGTAATAGACTCTGGACATTGTTCATCAACTGCTTTAAATCATTTGTTGATTATTTTTCCAGATCTAGAATGCAGGTGTGAAGGAAAGTAATCTTGCTCATTACAGACAACACAGCACAGCGAGAAAATTCACTTATAGTTCAATACTGCAGAATAAACTTGCCATAAGTACAATGCCATAGTTCGCAGTAAATGCCCAGCAACTTATTTTTAATGCAGAGAAAGAATTTGAGGATGTTTCTTATTGTTTTTTTTGGCTTCAACCAAACTGTTTTGCTCCCTTAATTGTGGTTTGAAAGTTCAGAGTAGGTGATGGTAGGGACTTTAGTTGGTGTATTTTGAGTTGCAGAAAGTGTACGAAGGTTACACTGCATATCTGGAGGTTGAGTTTTTATCGCGTGTTGAGAAAAAGGGAGTAAACCAGTTTATTTTGCATACTAATATTTGGTTTATCCACATTTGCATTGTGTTCTGTTGTGTGCATACAGAGGTTTACATCAGACGTTCATACACAACCTGCAAGCACTGACTTTGTTCACCGGGTTTTTTTATACACATGTTCTCGCTTGTGAAACAAAAGACACAGTTTGAACACAAACTGTCATACCTCAGTGTCGTTGGCCACTTATTGATCAATAACACATAACCTTCTTATTCTGCTCATTTTTTTCCCAACACTCTTCTTTTCATCGTAATATCACCAGAATTTGTGTTGCATAACTATAAATCTGCAATTCTGTAACAGGGTAATGTTCAGCCAACTTTTAGGAGATCAAATCTTAAAGAAGGTTCCTTTTTAAACACAATTTCAAGTTGGTTTCTGGTTGCCGTTTTTGAAGTGAACATTTGAATACAATGTTAAAGGACAACCATCTTTTTTGTCGGCGCGGTCTGGAATTTGCACATCTGTCTCCATTCTTATCGCGACAGGTCACTTCACTCCAAGATCACCGCACCGTCAAACACAAGAGAAGAAACAAAATCCAACGACTTGGTTTGTTTTTCAGTTGCACTTGGTCCCCAGGACGTTTAACTTTGTAATAGAACCTTTGACAAAGAGCAAACGCCTTTTAATTTTGTAAATGCTGTAAAAAAAAAAGACAGAAAAAGAACTAATAAAAGAGCGCATTACTTTGGGACATTTGTGAATCATTTTCTTGGTCTTGGTTTCTACACCTTGAATGTCTCTTCTGTCTGCTGTCTTGACATTTCCCCCCACATGCACCTCGAGTTTGTGCTAATTCATTTCAGTCTTGTGCACGCCACACCTTTCTGCCGCCAATAAATAGTGGCAAGCTCGTGTTTCATCTGACACAGCATGGAGAGTGTGTTTTTCAGAGTCGGGAGAAGAGTGTCTGATTTTTGGCCGAATCCACAGCGTCCCTCCCCCTGAGCCACAGCCTGCTTCTCAACCCCACCCCCCCCCGGACACACATACCACCCGGCAGCTCCTAATATAGACCCGAGCGCTCTGCAGGAAAGGGTAAAGAAGTGAGAGGGGTCGCCAACAAGAGCGTTTTCATGGACGCACAACAGAGTAATGGAGCCTCCTTCGCAGGTGAAAAGTCACTTTGGGATGAATATAACTGAGTGTTTGTAAAGAAACGAGTTGCCTTGTGGATTTCAAACTGTTGTGACAATGTCATGTGGGGACTGTTTTTCTTGCTTTGTTGCAGACCCCAGAGAAGAAGAAGGGAATACAACAAGGTGGCATTACAATATTTCTGTCTTTGTGTATATACCTCTTCCCTGGTCTGGTGCATGTGTGTATACGTGTCCACGTGTGCTCTCTGTGTTATTCTTCATAGACGCTGACACCACGGTCTACATGAATTTCATGAAGAGCCACTGCTGCTACAACGCCATTCCAACCAGCTGCAAACTGGTCATATTTGACACCAAGCTACAAGTAAGACTTCACTTCAGATCCTGTTTTTCTTTTACATCCTCACTCAGACATTCTGAAGTGAATTGATTTATCTCCACAGGTGAAAAAGGCTTTTTTTGCACTGGTGGCAAACGGCTTGAGAGCTGCTCCTCTATGGGACAGCGAGCTGCAAAGATTTGTGGGTAAGAAAAACAGATTAATAGTAATGGGTATAGTCTTAAAAATATTAATCACTGGAAATGATAATTTCGCAGGCATGCTGACGATTACGGATTTCATCAACATCCTCCACTGCTATTACAAGTCTCCTCTGGTGAGCATGAATGTGCTTCACTCTTAAGCCTATATTTTTGTGTGATGAGGGTTTATTGCCATATTTGCTGTTGTGTGTTTTGTGCAAGCATACATTTTTTTAAAATCTGAACACTAGAAATGATTGTGCAATATAAACAATAAGATATTTGCAGCATGAGCGTTATTAGCTGAGGAAAGTTCAAGAGTCACAAGTGGGAACATTTATTTTTGACCTGTTGGTGAGGCCAGCAGCAGTCTGGGAAAAAGCTGTTTTTGTGCCATGAGGTTTTGGTCTTGATGGCCCGCAGCCTCCTGCCAGAGGGAAGTGGCTCAAAGAGCTTGTGTCCAGTGTGGGAGAGGTCAGCCTGAAACTTACCGGCACGCCTCAGAGTCCTGGAGACGAGGCAGGCTGCAGACGATCACCTTCTTGATGGAGCGAATGATGTGCTCTGACCCTGTCCCTGGACTTGATGGTGGCAGTGTAGAAGCTGACCATCACAGGATTGGGCAACTTCCTCAGATGCTGCAGGATGTACATCCTCTGCTGGGCTTTTGTGGTGAGGGACTTCTTTGGTGATGATGGTTCCCAGGAAGGGGAATGACGGGTGGGACTTTTCCTGAAGTGCAATATACCAAGATCCATGAATTGTTCCCTGGGAAATCAAGGAAAAGGTTGAAAATTGAGCCACCTAAAGTTATTTGATAAGCAAATGTGGAATATTTGAGATATGAGCTGCCTGAAGAGTGAATCTCTACCTTGACAGAAGCTTTTGCAGGTTTGCATCTGATGATCTGATCCATCCTTCATTGAGAATGTCGCAGACCGACCCATAACTTGTGGTTTTCCCTCTCAAGGTTCAAATGTACGAGCTGGAGAGCCACAAGATTGAGACATGGCGAGGTGATTCATTTCAAAGTAAATAACCAACACGGATCTGAGACATTACCTCTGTGCACAAACTTTAGTGAACTCCCAGTCGAGCTTTATCCTCCTTCTCTCTGTTTAGATGTCTTCCTACAGTATTCCAATCACTTCCTCATTAGTATTTCCCCAGAGGCCAGGTGAGCACACAGAATGCACATTTTTAATTCTTACAATCCAGTCAAATACTTAAAAGGTCTCTTTTTTCCTCGTAGCCTCTTTGAAGCCACCTATTCCTTACTCAAACACAAGATCCACAGGCTGCCCGTCATCGATCCTGAGTCTGGAAACGTCCTGCACATCCTGACCCACAAACGAATCCTCAAGTTCCTCCATATATTCGTGAGCAAGCTTCAATTCACATGTTCAAAATATATCTTTAATGTGGCGGTGTAGTTTGGTTTCTCCTACTGTGGTGTTTTTTTCAGGGTAAAAAAGTTCCCAAGCCTGCGTTCATTCGGAGGCAGATCCAGGAGCTTGGGATCGGGACGTTCAGGAACATCGCCACCGTTCAACAAATGGCGCCACTTCACGAGGCCCTCGCCATATTTGTAGAGCGGCGGGTGTCTGCACTGCCGGTGGTGGACGAACAGGGTATACTCATTTATTTTTTAAAGATCATGCATTAGAGATGGATCTAGTTGTAATGATGGCTCACAATATGCTTTCTCAGGTAAAGTGGTGGCGCTCTACTCGAGATTTGATGTGATTGTAAGTACCACAGAGAAAACGTATGTTTTTTATTATCATTTTATTGTTTAACCAAGGCTGTTTGTGATCTTAAAGCAACACTATGCAACTGTTTTACCTCAAAATAGCAGCTTCAAAATCAGGGATCATGAGTAATATTCACAGTTCAGTTGTGTTTCAGTCCAGTGAGTCACAGCCACGCAGTCAGAGAATGAAAGTTAAAGTTACATAGTGCTGCTTTAAAGTTCCCCGTGCAGCATCAGAAAGTATCTGTGCTCGCTCCTCTGCAGAATCTTGCAGCCCAGAAGAGTTACAACAATCTGGACATGACGATGCTGGAAGCCGTTCGCAGGCGCGTGTGTTTCGTCGAGGGAGTTATCAAGTGCTATCCCTATGAAACCTTGGAGACAATCTTAGACCGGATTGTCAGCGCTGAGGTGGGTAGTGTTTGTAGAAGGATTTGGCTCTCGGGATTTGTTATGAAGTCAAACAGAAGAACATTGTCATTTCCCTCCTGATCCCAGGTCCATCGGCTGGTCCTGGTGGACAGGGCAGATGTGGTGAGGGGCATCATCTCTCTGTCTGACCTGCTGCAGGCCATGGTCTTATCCCCTGCAGGTATTGACACCCTTTTGTCCTAGCACCAGACGACAGGGGGGTCCCCTTCCCTCCTTTACTGCTTTGTGTAGGCATGAGTCCTGGCCATGTGCTCAGGCAGCTCGGCCCTGGAGCCCCTCTTCTGTCCCAGCCTGTTGTCTCTCTGACCCCTCACATCATCTTGTCATGCACAAAAGAAAACATCTTCCACATTTGGCGGAGCGCCTTAACAAGCAGATGACCAGATCTTGCAGCCGGAACACGAGACATGTGCATGTGCTTCCAGTCAAGCAAGCAGGGACCACCTTTTGTTTTTTGGTCTCATGACTGAGTGGAACGACAGCAGCTTCCCTTCATGTCTTTCAGAAATCGCCATCTGATTAAAATGAGAGATCACAAGAGGAAGAAAAAAAACTTTTTGCCTGTGCTGCTCTTTACATGAATATAATGTCTGGGCCTGTGTTATACTCAAGCATTGATATTGTGATGAATCTCTGTAGGTCTTCTCCTGCACTGTTATTGGCTGCATTTTGATCAAATTGATCAATATTTGTTTACTCAATAAGATATATTTCTGTATTAAACATTTATAGCAAAACCCAGTGGTGTGTGTTTGTTTCATATATGTGATCTAG